ATGAGTGTTTATCTGCTGCCCAACCACAGCACCTCGTTGTCTGCTGCAGTAAATGGCCTCTATCGGCAGCCAGGGTGTAGCTTCCTCTTGCCATTTCCTCCTTCTCAGGCTCATTTCCTCTTGGAGTCAGCTCCGCACGTCAGGGGCTATTCTCCCTGCAGGAAGGGTCGGCTTGCAGCCCTGTGATTGTTTCTGTTTCTATGGCGCCTCAGGTTGGGGACAGCCAGGTGTTGGAATAGACTGGAAGGTTAATGCCCTGGAAAGGGGGGCGGGGGGGAAGTGTCTAGGCTCTTTTCTGCCTAATTAAACATTGTTTCAAAAGATGTTTTACCAACATCTCCATTCCTGGGCCATGCAAGGAAGCATTTTCAGCTGTGTGCTTTCCAGTTGGCTCCTGCTCCATTTCAAAAGGAGAGAATAGGAGGGGACACCGCTGCAAAGGCATACTGCACACAGCTGTGATAACTCAAGATGCCACACGGCATCTCATTTGAACGCAAGTCTAGTGGAATGCAAGTCTAGTGAAATTTCCTTGTGCGCTGAACTTGTACCCTAAGGATGAACTCAGGACCTCTACCTAAAATACACTCATGACCTCTACCTAAGAAGGGACCTCTACCTAAGATGGACTCGGGGTCTCTACCTAAGATGGACTCAGAACCTGTATTTAAGATGGAGTCAGGACCTCTACCCAAGATTCACTCAGTTTCCTCTTTGAGTTCATACAGCTCAATTGGGACAGGGTTTAAGCCAGGATCTTTTCTCCCCTTTCTTTTTATTCTATGTGTGTGAGTGCTTGCCTGCAGGCATGTATGTACCCCATGTGTGTACCCTAAAAGTCCAGAAGAAGGTGTTAGAAATTAGAGCTACAAATGATGTGAGGCACCGTATGGGCGCTAGGACCTGAGCCTGAGTCTTCTGTGATAGTAATAAGTGCTCTTAACCATTGAGATCTCTCTCCAGTCCTGAAACCCGGATCTTGGGAAACACTGAGCATAATAAGTTCTGATTAGAAACCTAAAATTTCTAAATCCATCCCTGGTTCCTTTGTGTGTTGTGCTTCCTTTCGCTTGGTTCTTGAGCAAAGATCTTTTTATTTCTTTTAAATGCCAGCCTTATCTCAACTGAGCCAAGAACAGTGTATGTTTTTGTTTCTTGTTTTTCATAGCTCCATCTAGAATAGGCAATGAAGAAAAAGCCGTGGGGTTGAAGTCAAGAGGCTAAGACAAAGACACAGCTCTGGCCTCTGCAGCCAGGCCCCTGACCTTGTGTGAGGTGAGCAGGGACAGTCCTGCCAGCCATATTCACAGCATCATGTTGTGGTCGTCCTTCTGTTTGGGGATGAGGCCAGGGGAGATTAGCCCCAAGGAGTCAGAGGAAGTGGGTAAGAGATACCCTGAAGTTTAGCTGCTCATTAGAATAGCCTAATAGTTTGTACCATCTAGCTCACCAGTGAAGTCAGGTCCTGTGAAGGTAAGGACCAACTAAATAAATGTATATTGCAGTTTGCTCAGGTAATTCCAGTGAGCATAGACTTGCATGGGATCGGAGGCACAGAGGTGGTTGCTGACAGGGTTCTGAGTTCCACGGATTCCAAACTTCACCCTAGAAATAATGTCATCACATACACGTACCCCACATACCACCCCCACCCACCCCACACTACACATACTACACACACATACCACATGCACACCACACATAAACTATATATATGCCTACACACACACACACACACACACACACACACACACACACACACACCTCACTGGTTTAGAACTCACTATATGGCCGGGGACACAGGATCATCCTGCCTCTGCCTCCTGAGTGCTGAAACTAAAGGCATTCATCGCTGTGCCTGACTAAAATCTGCTGTATTTGATTTAGTGGTGTTCTTTAAATAACTTTCTCCGTCTGTTGTCCTTTCTTTGTTATAGAACTCTTCCTGAGTCAGTGCTCTCCAAGGAACATCCTTTTGTCTGCCTGTTTTAATTTGCAGGAAGTCCTTCCAGGCTCATCCCTACAGTATTGCAGTCTTATAATCGTTTTCTGGCTTGCCGCACGGTTCCTTCTCACCCTTGCTTGCCCCTGCCAGCCACCCTTACTTAGAGTCCCTTGTCTAGAATTCCACCCTGGACTCTCTGTCTTTTCCAATGGATGCCCTCTTCTCTAGCAGTTGCTTTTATTCTCACAGTGTTAACAGCTGTCCATGGCAAGAATCTCCTTGATGCACACTTGCATCCCATCCCATCCCCACAGCTGTGTGTCCTGCCAACGTAAGTAAGGTGTGATGGTCCCTACCCCAGCCATCTCTACCCAGTTGGAAACATTTATATCTAAAACTCAGTACACAGTGGTAAAAGCAAGGTAAGAATGGGCCAGGACACCTATGGCAGCTGGTGAGCTCTGAGGACCAACAGAAGACCAGGTAGGCAGGAGAGGCTTTTCCACAGAGGAGAGGAGATGCCGAGTTAGAGTTCAGTGAACTAAAAGACCACAGATGCTAATAGATGTAGGTATAATATGTGGGAATCTCAATTCGGTTAGGACTACCTGGTAAGGCTCTAGACCCAGGCTGATCAGTCACCAGACACTGCTGACTCCGTCCTATGGTGGCTAGCTGTTTAACTGTTAATTGACTGGTTTATATCAGGGGTTTATCTGTGCACTACTATGCATCCGTTCAGGCCAGACATTTCTCACTTTCTCCATCCTACATACTGCTGTTAAGAGTTAACCATAACGTAACTCTCAGAGATAATTGTTATTGACTGTTTTTAAAATTTTTAAATAGCCAGGCATGATGACACATGCCTTTAATCCCAACACTTAGGAGGCAGAGGCAGGTGGAGCTCTGTGGGTTTGAGGCTAGACTGGTCTACAGAGCTAGTTCCAGGACAACCAGGGCTGTTACACGGAGAAACCCTGTCTAAAAAAGAAAGAAAGAAAGAAAGAAAGACAACAAAAGATCTGTAAATGGTTTTACTGTGTGAAGCACAATCCAAACTTCTTATTCTTGCTTTAAAAAAAAAATACAAAAAAAAAAAAAAAAAAACCAACTTCACTTCCAGATAAATTACAAACAACTGATTCGTAGCACTTGGAGGCTGAGGCAGAATAGTCCAGTAGTTCAAGGTCATCTTTCTCTAAGTACCAGCCTCCAGGCTAGCCTGGCCTACATGACACCCTGTCTTAAAAAGCAACAAAGATGGGGTTGGAGAGATGGCTCAGTAATTAAGAACACTCACTGCTTTGGCAGAGGGTCAAGTTTGGCTCCCAGAACCTGTGGCCATTGGCTCAGGACTGTCTCTAATTGGAGCTGCAGGGGCTCTGGCACCACCCTCTGGATTCTGCAGAAGCACACACATAACTAAAAAAAATAAGTCTTGACATTTTTCATCTTTTTTTAAAAAATGACGGAACTGAAGAGATGACTCAGTGGGTAAGAGCACTGGATGCTTTTCCAGAGAACCCGGGTTCAATGCCCAGCACCCACATGACAGCTCACAATTCAACGCCCTCTTCTGGTGTGCAGACATACACCCAGACAAGGCACCTGTATACATATAAATAAGTAAATCTTCTTTTAAAAACTAGCAAACACCCCACAGCTCGCTTCTCTGGGCTTTTCCCTTCTCCAGCTAAGATCTCCCAACTACCTTCCTTTTCCCTGGACATTTGCCTTTGAAACTTTCCTCTCCTCTCCACGATCCCCGGATGCCAACCCCCCTTATGTTCCCCACCTCCGCATCTTCATTCATGCTGCTTCCTCCACCGGAAGTGACCTCCAAAAGAGTCAGCTCATCTCTCATTCTTCTTCCTCTTGGAGTCTGTCCAAATATGTGTCAAAGAGTAAGGGTTCTAGCGCCCAGCTTCCTGCCCTCCACTCCCGGCCCTTGCCACGTACGGTCTGGGTCACTTCCTTAAGCTCTTTGTACTTCAGTTCTCTTTAACGTGGGACACAGTTGTGTCTGTCTCACTGGCTGGCTGGCTGTGAGCATCACTGAGGACAGTGCTTGCTGCCCAGGGTATGCTGTAGAACGGTTATTTTGTTTTCTACCATAACACCTTTTATTTGGATTTATCCTTCAGTATACTGGCTCCCACAACCTTCAAAGTGTCTGATGGAAGCTGGGCATAGTGGTGCACATTTTTAATCCCAGCACTCGGGAGGCAGAGGCAGGTGGATCTCTCTGAGTTCCAGGACAGCCTGGTCTACAGAGTAAATTGCAGGTCACCCAGGGCTACACAGAGAAACCCTGTCTCAAAACAAACATAAAGCTGACTAAGGCAAATAGCATTCCTGGTATATTGTGAGCAATGCTTTCGATGCCATAATCAGCTTGTTTTCGTTGAAATACTTTACTCTGGGTTTCCTAACAAGAAGTATGAGAACTGAAGGTAAAGTTTACTCAAAGCAGACATTAGGGCACAGAGGTGAAATTGCTACCCAGATGCCACTTCTCTGCTATCCTGGCAGGGAGCCTGGAGGCTCCTGAATTTAGGTGTCAACCTCCTTATAGGCTCGGTCCATTTGACCATGCCAAGAGGCATTTCTTCTTATTATTACTATATTTTTTAAATTATGTATACAGTGTTCCATCTGCTGTGTGCCTGCAGGCCAGAAGAGGGCATCAGTCTCATTACAGATGGTTGTGAGCCACCATGTTGTTGTTGGGAATTGAACTCAGGACCTCTGGAAGAGCTCTTAACTGCTGAGCCAGAGGCATTTCTTCTTAAACTATCTTTTTGGACTTGGCCCTCGGCAACTGTGCAGACTATATGGGGACAGTGTGATGTTTCCGTTCTTGTGCAGTAACCAGGAGAGTCCTGGTACCTTCCTCTTGCTTCTGCAGGCTGGCTGGACAGTAGTCCAGATCAGAAGAGTTTTAGAACATGCTACTGCTTCAGTGCAGTTACCCATGCGTTACCCACAGGCCTCCTGAAACTTGTTCATGTCCACTGAGGGGCTCTGTGTGACCTGTGTGCCCGATTTTCAGAAATCAGACGTCGTGGTTCCAAAGACCCCCTGGTGAAGGCCCTCCAGCTGCTCGATGGCCCATGCGAGCCAGGGGAGAGTATGAAGGTAGAGGCCACAGCCAAGAGACGCAGCTCCAAGGACCTGTTGGGGAAGCCGCCACAACTCTATGACACCCCCTACGAGCCCCCGGAGGGTGGCCAACGAGGGGCAGAGGTGAAGGCACGGCCAGCAGACAGCAGGCTGCCAGAGGAGGATGACCGGCCTGCCGCCGAGTATGAGCAGCCCTGGGAATGGAAGAGGGAGCAGATCGCACGAGCCCTGTCAGGTGAGGGCGCAGCACCTGCCACTCAGGGCCTTCCCTGCTAACACGCTTACTTTTCAGAGCTTACACACAGCAATGGCACAGGCTCACTGGGCACAGTATGGCTTTCAGTACATGCATGGGTAGAGCCCTTCAATACATGTGTGTGTTGTATAGTGGTCAACTGGGGGTGGTGAACATACCCATCACCTAGTGTGAGTTCACTCAGGCAGACACTGAAGAAGTCCTCAGAAATCCAGAGCAGTCGTGGTTACCAGCGGATAAGGCGGGGGAGGAGGGAGGTCGAGGAGCCTCGGCTGGCTCTGATGACCCACTGCAGAGGGTACTGAGAGTGATGGATGTTTCATAATCGCCTGAAGACTTTAAACCCTGCATTGTGTCCTCGCTACAGGTCTTATTTGTATTACATCTGTTTGTTTGCCGTGTGTTTGCGTGTGGGGATGAGTGTAACATGGTAGACCAGAAGATGACCTGTGAGAGTAGGTTCCCTCCTTCCATCATGTAGGCCTCGGGAATTGAACCCATGTTGTCAGGCTTGATGGTTGGTACCTTGACCCTCTAAGCCGCCTTGCCATCCCACAAGTCCCCCCCCCCCCCTTTGTTTGAGGTAGAGAAGTACGGATCTAGCTATGGATGAGGTACAGAGTATGCCTGTATTCCCAGGATGTGGAAGACAGGAAAATCAGGAGTTGCAAGCTAGTCTGGGCTATACAGTACTCTGTGTGATCAAAACGACAACGGGGCTGGAAACTGTGCCCTTAAAACTACTTGCTTCACTTCCCTTTCTGTCCTGGGCTGTGGAGATGCCTGGGGGGCGGGGCTGTTGGAAAGCCTCCTTGATCGTTTTAAGTTGATTTCCCATTCCCAAAGCTATCAAATCGCAAACAGCTTTTCTAGTTCTTAACCTCACTTGTTCTTCAAGCCTGTGAAATGCTCGTTGTGAAACAGCTGGCCTGGGTAAGAGAGATGAATGGGCCACCGTAGCTGCAAACTCGAGTGAAAACTATATTGCTTTTGTTGTCATTTGGTTTTCTTCTCGCCTCGGTTTCCTCAGTAAGATTGTTAGAGGCATATGCCACAATCCCCAGCTACAAATTGATTCCTTTACAAAGATATTCCAAAATAAAACCTAGATTGAAGGTAGAGTCACACCTTCAGATGTAGACCTCCTGTTGCAGGAGCCAGGGAAAGTGTCTCCCATTTAGTTAGCCCAGGCTGGCCTCAAACTCCTGGGCTCAGCTTCTCAAGTGGCTGGGATACCACCATGCCTTGCTCATGTAAGGGTTTTAAGCAATTTAAGGGAAAGTTGATAAACAGGCTTAAAACAAAAGAAGAAGAATGGGGGGGGTGTTGGAGAGGTGGCTCAGTGGTTAAGAACACTTACTGCTCTTGCAGAGGACCTGGGTTCAGTTCCCAGCACCCACATGGAGGTAACTACTGCTCTCAAGACATAATTTTTCCATTTGACTTTCACAGAATTTGGTTTTCCTTTGATTTAGAATTTTCAAGGCATCCTTATCCCTTAACACTAAGTCCAATTCGATGTAGAGCCAGCATGTTGGTTGGTGGTGCGTGCCTGTAATTCCAGCACTTCCTACCGCAGCAGGAGGATGGCAAGATCTAGGCCACCCTAGGCTGTATAAGCGCTCATCTAAAAAGAAAAAAACAAAACAAAGCGTAGGCAACATGAAGAGCCTCCGGGCTGTCTGTCCGCTGCCTCCGCTAGGCGCCTCAGCGGCTCCAAGCTGTCATTTCATGATTTAGGTTTGTTTCTGAGTGGCTTTCTTTTTGCTTTATTATCTCATAGTGAAGTTTGCCACTGGTTTTATAGAGATAGATTCACTAAATTTCACTAAATGTGTGTTTAAGTCTTTTGAAAAAAATCGTTCTCTGAGAATTTCATAGTGTGTTTTTATCATATACTTCTCTGTCCTCCAACTCCTCTCAGATCTTGCCCTTCTCACCCACACAACTTCCCTCCGAAAAGAAACGAAACGGGGAAAGCCACTAAAAGCATGGGGTCCTGTTTGTGTTGGCTAACGGCTCCTGAGTTGACGTGGTGCCTGTTCTAGAGTGCAGAAGAAAACTGATCTCCCTGGCCTAGCAGCTAGCGTTTGTGAATTGCCTCTTGGCTTGGGGTGGGACTCTGTGCCCACATCCCCTCCTCCTGGCTGGGATTCTGTCTGGCTTGAGTTTGTGCTGTTCTGTGTGAGCTGTCACAGTCTCTGTGAGTTCATGTATGTCTGGCCTGTTGTGTCTGCAACATGCTGTTTCATTAAGTCATCTACCATGTGTGGCCCTTACAGTCTCTCTGACCCTCTTCTTCAAAGACCCCCGAGGCTTGAGGACAGGGTGAGAAACAGATGTCCCGTTCAGGGCAGAGTGCTCTAGAGTCACACTCAAAATGTATGTTTAATCTAAAAAAACAAAACAAAACGAAACAAAAAACCTTCTTGTTATCATCTTTAAAATAAAGTTTGTGCTGAAACATGAGTCTCCTCTTGTGTTCCAAAACTGTTTTATACTGATGAGTTACCTCAAGGAAACTAATCCCACGGGGTCGCTTAGCAGTGTAGTCCGATGTCCACAGCAGCGGGAGCATAGCAGTCTGGGACACTGCTGCACACTGGAGCTTACCTTTAAGGCTTCCCTGGGCTAAGGCACGCATGAGGTTTTTCCCTGAGGGTTACATGGCTGGCTTCGTGGTCTCTGGTGTTAAGTGATATCTTCCTTCCAGTCCAGTTTGAGGGACCTGATCGACCTCCCAGCAAAGAGGAGACAGGGAGACCACACCACTGGCAGAAGACCTTGAAGCCGACCCTGTCAGACCACAGTGACAGGGAGAAGGTGGACCCGGGCCTGGCCCTGGAAAAGCAGCCGTGAGTCTCCCTCGGTGACTTTGTCACAGCCCTGTGTGGGGTGCCCTGGCCCATTTGGGGCAATGGCTTTCGTTTACGAATTCTTGCCTGGTGGAGGGTTCTAAGCACAGTGCATTTGTTCAAGATGGAAGGGCCTATATCCCAAGAAGTTTGCCATGCCTCCTTCCATACAGAAGGGAGGCCTGCTTTACTTTGGAATGATTGTTTTATTTTATGAGTGCTTTGCCTGCATGTATGCTAGAAGAGAGCATTGAATACCCTGGAACTGGAATTGTGGGTGGTTGTGAGCCACTGTGTGAATGCTAGGAACTGAACCCAGGTTCAGCAAGTGCTCTTAACCACTGTGCTGTCCCTCCAGGCCTAGAGGGAAATGTTTCTAAGGACACCACCCTCCTTGACTTGGTTGTGCATGATTGAATGGCTTTGTGACCGAGACCTCTGGAATCTGCACTGTGTCTGTTCTGCGAATGAAGCAGGGTCCATGGAGGCTGTGAGCATCTCTAGAGCTCCTTGCAAACCGAGCTTTAGTGGAGTGGTTTTTAAGTGATGTTCACAGAGGGGTGTAACCTCGGTCTAGACTTGCACTGTGACGCTGTTTTTTTGTTTTTTTGTTTTTTTCCCTCTGCCCCTGTTCAGTTGGTATCATGGCACCATTACCCGAGCTGAGGCTGAGAGCCTACTACAGCCCTGCAAAGAGGCTGGTTACCTGGTCCGAAACAGTGAGTCAGGCAACAGCAGGTACTCCATTGCACTGAAGTAAGTGTCTGCACCCCGTGGGTGTCCTTGTCTGAAGGCTAGGCTGTGCTGTAGAGGCTCTCTCCTCCCTGGGGGTAGATGGACAATCAAACATGTATATCTGAAGGTGGATCACAGGGCGTTTGTTTCCAGAAAACAGTGGACAGCAGACATAAAACACTGTGATCAGAATTGATACTAGATTTAAAAAAAAAAAATCCTGGTGTCTATTACCAGGTTGGACCCGGTTTTCATCATCATAGAACATTACTCAGTTTCAACCTTACATTATCAGATCTGAGGCCTCTTAGAGGAGAAGTAATTCCTGATTTTTTTTTTTTTTTTTTTTTTTTTTTTAAAGTGAAGCCAGGTGTGGTGGCACACGCCTTTAATCCCAGCACTCAGGAGGCAGAGGCAGGTGGATCTAGAGTTTGAGGCCAGCCTGGTCTACAGAGTGAGTTCCAACACAGCCAGGCCTACATGGAGAAACCCTGTCTCAAAAAACAAAAAACAAAAAACAGAAAACAAAAATTTCAGGGCTGGAGAAATGACTGCACAGTTAAGAGCACAGGCTGCTCTTTTCAGAAGACAGGGGTTCAAATCCCAGCAACCACATGGCAGCTCACTGCTGTCTGTAACCTCAGTTCCCAGGAATCTAATGCCCTCTCTGGCCTCTGGAGGCTCCAGGTATGCACATGGTACACAGACATATATGAAGGCAAATGATCCATTACATAGAAAGCATAGTGTCTGGGGTCAGGGCCATAGTGCTTAGCAGACACAGTCCTAAGTTTGTCCAACAGCAGCGCAAAAAAAAAAAAAAAAAAAAAAAAAGGTCTACAAAAAATTAAAAAAAGACAGTGCAGTTCAATTTCTTCTGTGTTTTTTGTTTGTTTGTTTTTAAGATTTGGAAATGTTTATGTTGAGTATTTGCCTTCATGTATGTGTACCATATACATGCAGTAACCATAGCTACAGATGGTTGTGAGCATCCATGTGGGTGCTAGGAACTGAACTCAGGTCCTCTGCAAGAACAGTAAGTGCTGTTAACCACTGAGCCATATCTCTGGTGTGTGTGTGCACACACAAACACACACACACACCAATTCTTTCTTTTCTTTCCTTTTCTTTTTTCTTTTTAGGCAGGGTCTCTCTATGTAGTCCTGGCTGTCCTGGAACTCAATTTGCAGACCAGACTGGCCTCAAATTCATTGAGGTCCTCCTGCCTCTAACCCCGAGTCCTGGGATTAAACGTTATGTGCCACCATGCCTGGCACTGCTCTACTTTTTTGCGATAGGTCTCACTGTGTAGCCCAGGTTTATCTAGAGCTTAGTGATCCTTTGCCTCCGCACTCCCAGTGAGAGATCTTCAGGCATGTGCCAACACACCCGATCCTGTCATTTTTCGTTCATTACCTAGTATGAGGGACCTTAGTGAATACCGAGTCCTTGATTGTCAGGATGCCAGCTGCGTTCCATTCTAGACTCTTCTGGTGAGAAGGAAATGCTGAGTTGCTGTTACTCGCTGTCTAATTGTGTGCAGTTGCTCACTTCTGCCTGGTGGGCTTGGCAGACTGAGTCCCATGGAAATTCTCAGTGCTCGGTGAATTCAGTGGCACCGTATTGGAGGATCTTTGTCAGGAGCCCTCACAGTACTTCCTTCCTGAGGAAGCTGAGCCCCTGGGGCTGAAACAATCAGAGTGGAAGGGAAGGGTGGGGGAGGGGCACGAGAGCGCTGTGGCTCAGAAAATGGGATAGACCACATAGACAATACCAGGAACAGCCTCTGTGATCCCGAAAAGCCATGTCTGGGGACTAAGTCTTTGCGCCTTCAGTGCCAGCTGTCATTGTGTGCAACTAGGACTGCTCTTTCCTCCTAGGGGCAGGGGCCAATAGACAGTTATTGTTGTTATTATTATTAATGTGTTCCTTTGGGGAAAAATAAAGGAGAAGAAACCTCACATGACTGTTGAGCGGTGCCAGGGGGTTGAAATGAACTGTACAGTGGCAGCAGCAGACTTGGGCTCATTCACTGGTCTTACAATTTGGTCAGTAGAAGGGATTTATTTGGCTTTTTCCTTCCAGTCTTGACTACTGGTGTGTAATAACAATAAACAAGTTGAGGTGTCATGCATTTAGGCTTAGAAACTTGCAAACCCTCCCTCAGCTTGCTGGAAGCTTTTCGGTGTGTGTAGAACAATTGCAGGATGGGAAGAGGACCCGTCCACCTATTGTGAGTGTGGCTGGGATGGTTTCCAGTTGGGATGGATGCTCTGCTCACTCATTCATGTCTTCTTGTTTTTCTCCTCCAGGACTAGTCAAGGGTGTGTCCACATCATAGTGGCTCAGACAAAAGACAACAAATACACCCTGAATCAGACGAGCGCCGTGTTTGACAGCATCCCTGAAGTGGTACACTATTATTCCAGTGCAAAGTTGCCTTTCAAAGGGGCAGAACACATGACCCTACTCTACCCCGTGCACAAGCTTCACTAAAGTTTAACCAGCAAGAGCCCAGGCACCTTCGAGGGCATTGGCACCCACCCAGCATCATGTGGACAGGACTCTGTCTGCTGCTGCAGACTGGGAGTTGTCACCTAGAAGTCAAGCAGCCTTTGATCTTAAATCCAGGACATGTGGTCTGATCTGTTCTTTCTCTTCCTTCCAAGTAGCTATTCTATAAGAAAGTATTGCTTACCTGTTACCTTCTCCCTTAGAGTAGGAGGTCTGTTTGAGGTAGACTAGAGTTCAGGAGCACTAACTTGTCCCTCATTGCTATTCTGAGTGCCTGGCCTCTGAACAACAGAAAACTCCTCAGCCTTTACTGGTGGTCACGTGGACTGGAAGATCCTTCAGTGTGAGCCCCCATGGGGAAGTGGATGGACAGTGGGAAATGGGAACAATGGACAGGAAAGCTGTCTTTCTCCATGTCCTGATGCAGCTGTGGCCTTCACACACATTCATAACTTAAGGGCCGTGCAAGAGGATTGTTTGGCTGGTCAGCCCTCCTAAGAACAGTATTTGCTTTCTTGCTTTCTCTGGACCTCCTCATCACTTCTCAGAAAATCAATAACACAAGCAAAAAATTGGGTGGAAGATCCCAGATTAAAGTGTTACCAACGCAATCAAGTAGTGACGTCCTTTGTGAAATTCTGATTATTATTAAGTGTGCTCCAACGACTTGATTTCTGATTTTTAAAGAACTCTACAGAGCTCAACAACTGGTTTATTATTGAATGATCATGTAATTCAGACATCTTTTGTTTTCCCTTTGTGCATTTTAGTTGTATGAAATCATCTTTAAGTTTTCTTTCTAAAATTAAATTGGCTCAATATTTTTGGTAAATTTTTACAACAAAATTGGGGTCCAATTGTATGAACTGAGTCACTGGTCTGGGAAAATCCCCCCCCCCCATGTGTAGAACAAATCAATTTGTGCCTACAGAAACATTTTGAAAGGACTGAAGTGTCTCTACTGCTCTCTAAGACACTATGTCATTGTATTTTTACCCTTGTGATCTCTCTGTTGTGGGAAACCCCACAGGAGTGGCACTGTGACAGGCACTGTGGGGAATGGGCTGGGCCAGAAGTGGACGAATGTTTCTTGCTCGGGTTTGTAAACTGGGTCTCAAGACTGTCTCCAAGGCAATTTACTGACCACCTGGGGTGGAAAGCAAACTGTTTGTAGCTTCTTTCAGATGCAAAAAAATATTAACCTGGTCAGACTTCTTGGGAAACACAGCTGTGTACTTAGCGCCCATCACTCGACTTCGGAGACTGAAACATAGGAAGATGTTTGCTCCTGTTTCCCTGAGGATGTCAGCCAACGGGTTGTGTGGTTTTCTTTTTGTTTTAGAAAGTTAGAGGGAATTTCTTCCAATGGAGCACAGTGATCTTCACAAAGGCTGTTCTCACAGTGGTCAGATTGCGTGTTGTGCGGTATGTGCACTTTCAAGTTTTCAGTAGCCAGAGTTCCAGTTCCATCCAGCAAGTGTTTATTATCATTATTATCTTGTATATGTGCATTGTTCACTGTGCTAAACCTATTTTTAGCTCATCTTCCTAGCCACAAAGACTTATTTTTTTGCTTAGCCTTCCTTACTCTCCAAAGGAAATTGAGCTGTTGACTTCAGTGAATAGTAAGAACATTTTAAAATGTCTCTGTGTGTAGAAGGGTGTGGGTCCACACCCAGCGATTCTGATGGATGCAGCCTGATGCATGGGTGTCTCCTGGGCTCTCCAGGTGTTTTCCCTCCATATTTGTTTTCTGTGATTGGAAGTGGAGGAAACAGAGTTTATATATACTCCAGTCTTCACAATAGGGAGAGGGGCTATAAAACGCAAAAATATTGCAGATTAGTGGAAGCCAGTGGGGGAGTGTGTTAAAGCTGCTATTTTCCTCTTAGGTTGTGACACAGTGGACAGAGGCCAGGGAGCTGACAGCTGGGAGGTGTTCTAAAAGTAACTGTGCCCAGCAGGGCGTCCTCACCTCCCATGAGCCTGGGCCAGTTGCTCTGGAACGCTTGTCCTGTGAGCTCCAAACACTTAGGCTTCCTTCCTTTTTCTCCTGATTTAGTATTTCCCTGTTATCTTCATTCCTTTGAGTTGATTGTGTCTCCCAGAAATTTTTCTTCTAGAAAGATTGTCTTTTGGTAAACCCTCAGGATGCTCTGAAGTAAACACCTGTAGAGCTTCCGCTTTTTTTTTTTTTTTTTTTTTTTTTGCTTTAGAAAAATGTATTTGTAAAAACTGCTCCGTTCCAGGGCATTGACTTAGAGAAGACCCCTGAAAACAGAGCCCCATGTAATCCAGCTAGCTACCCAGGAGGTGGAGGCAAAAGTTCATTCAGAGCTAGCCAGGGCAACAGAGTGAAGAAAAGAGGAAGGCAAATGGCATGTCTATCCCTGTGGTACCGCAGGCAGTGGTTTCCGTCAGGGTATATTTTAACCCCCGGATCTGCATATTTAAGTAGGCATCGGCACAGGTCAGGAGGATGCTGAAGAGGCAGAGTGGGAAGACTCTTGAACCTGAGGTTACTCCTGGTTTACACCCTAGGGCTGCAGAAATGGCTCAGCGGCTGGAAGCCCTGACTGCTCTTTGTAGAGGACCCTTGTTCAGTTCCCAGCACACACACGCTGCCCAGTTCTGGTGATCTGATGCCCTCTTCTGGCCTCTGAGGGCACCGAGCACGTACATGATGCACATGCATCTATACAAGCAAAACATTCATGTACATAAACTTTTTAAAACTTGAAAAATAGGAATAAAATAACCGGGGATTTTAGTGTGTGTTCACAAAAGCAAGTGATGATAAATGCAGTGTCCTTCCAGGTTATTCGAGGGCTTTAGTAGACAACTGTAAGAATAGCCCCCTTTACTCTTGGCCCTTTAAAGTCTGCTCCTGCTGTATTGGTGCCTGGCCTCTGCCACAGCCAGGGCAGTTGGGCAGAGAACCTGCAGGGAAAACCAGCTATCCTCAAGGCAGGTCCCACTATACTAGTCCTTGTTTGTTACTTGGATTATTTACCGGTGTTAGCACTTAACAATTAGCCGCTGCTGTTGGATAGATCAGAGGAGCAACTGTGAAGCGTTCTTTATTGCTTGTTAAATGAGTCTGCTAAAATGCCCTTTCAGTTGCAAGCTAATGCCTTATTTTTCCTTGCCTCTGTCATTTTAGATATCATTCCTCCTGTACTTGCTTTTGATACTTAGGATTTCACCGATCTCTTCCTTGAACCCCATATCCATCGTTTATCTTTCTATCTTCTATAGCCAGCACCAGGTTAACCTTTAGAATTGCTCTTCTTTATTCTCATTGCCTCTTCTTACACCCCACTAACTTGGCCTTGGAGAAACTTGACCTGCTGTGAGCCTTCCTTGCAATTTAGCCTCTCTTCTTAGCGGAACCTATGTGATGAAAGATGGTGTGCTACTGCCATCTACTGGAATAAGAGAAAACTGCAGATGAGAAATAAGCTGTGCATTTCAGGGTAGTTTGTCTAAAGGATTTCTGATATAGTCCATAAATAGAAATAAATGATAACACAGCAATTGCTGTCTTGAAATATGCCCTTTCCTATGGAAAGGGTTGTTTGATTCCTAGTATGGCAATCATCCATGAGGCCCCTGGACCCAAGCTGGGTCATTTAGCTCACAATCTATTTTTTTTGTTTTTGTTTTTGTTTTTTTGTTTTTCGAGACAGGGTTTCTCTGTATTACTTTGGAGCCAGTCCTGGAACTTGCTCTGTAGACCAGCCTGGCCTCAAACTCACAGAGATCTGCCTGCCTCTGCCTCCCCAGTGCTGGGACTAAAGGCATGTGCCACCAACACCTGGCATAGCTCACAATCTTATTTCTATTTTTGAAGACTATGCTGTGAACAGACCATTGAGGCAGACTTCATTATGTCAAGTTATTAGCTGTTCCATATGTTGTAAGGAGGATTTGAAATTTTAAATATCAATTAATGCATTGTTTTAACTTTTTAAAATATTTAAGAGATTGTAATGCAGGTGCCTTGGCAATCCGTATTGTATCTTATAAATTGTTGGCTCTCTTGAATGGGCCAGTGTAGCTGTGTGCCTTCCAGAAGATGGTTTATTCTGAATGTTACTTTCAATAAATGCTTTGCCGGGAAAAACAGTCATTTAGCTCTATTCAGTTAGTGGTCGGCTGGTTGTGTTGTGTTGTGGTTGTTTGTTTGTTTGTATTGTGTTGTGGTTATCTGTGTTGTGTTGTGTTTGATTGGTTGGTTGTTTGTGTTGTGTTGTGTTTGATTGGTTGGTTGTTTGTGTTGTGGTTGGTTGTTTGTGTTGTGGTTGGTTGTGTTGTGTTGTGTTTGGTTGGTTGGTTGTGTTGTGTTGTGTGTTGTTTTGTGGTTGCTTGGTTTGTTGTGTTGTGTTGTGTATTGTGTTGTGGTTTCTTGGTTTGTTGTGTTGTGGTTGGTTGGTTGGTTGTGTTGTGTTGTGGTTGGTTGTTTGTGTTGTTTGTTTGGTTGGTTGTTTGTGTTGTTTGTTTGGTTGGTTGGTTGGTTGTGTTGTGTTGTGGTTGATTGGTTGTGTTGTGTGCTGTTGTGGTTGGTTGGCTGTGTTGTGTTGTGTTGTGGTTGGCTGGTTGGTTGGTTGTGTTATGTTGTGATGATGGGTTTTGTGCAGTAAGCCTCTGCCACTGAGCTACCCCCATAAGTTCATTTGTTTTGACAATCACCTCCCTACATGAAAGGTACTTCCTGTGCAGACACCTACCTGGAGCCTCTGTGAAACTGCTGATGCTGGAGTGTACCAACCACCTGACAGGCAACAGTTCAAGGGTCCCTCCCTTCCATTTTAGAGTCCTGCCCCACTGCTTTCCCCCCCGGGGGAAGTCACGTAGCTGTGCAGTTTTCCTTGGCGGCTTAGATGTCTTCCCGTGCATATCCCTTTGTTCTCCTCTGAGCTTCAGAATTAGGCTCTGTGTGTGTGTGTGTGTGTGTGTGTGTGTGTGTGTGTTGTGTGTGTTGTGTGTGTGTGTGTGTGTTGTGTGTGTGTGTGTGTGTGTGTGTGTGTGTGCACCTGTTTTACTGATACAACCACTGATTCCCAATTGTGGGATTTCACAGTTAAAACTCATTTATGAAGCTAGGAAAAAAAATATGTATATCTTAAATGTATGTGTGGGGCATGGTGGCACATGGCTAGAGCCCCAGCACTTGGGAGGTGGAGGCAGGAGGACCAGGAGTTTGAAGTCATCTTTTGTTAGAGTTCAAGACCAGCCTGGGCTACCTTGTCTCAAAAAATGGGGATGTCTGGGAACTCTTACACATGGGGCTCACTGCCAGCCTTGATAGTGTATCCCTCTATAAGCTACACCAGTGGTTCTCAACCCATGAGTCACGACCCATTTGGGATAGAATGATCCCTTTACAGGGGTTGCTTAAGACCATCAGAAAACACAGATATTTATGATTCGTAATTACAAAAGTAGGAAAACTAAGTAATGAAGTAACAATGAAGATTATTTTATGGTTATTGGTCACCACAACATGAGGAACTGTATTAAAGGGTCGCAGCATTAGGAAGGTTGAGAACCACTGTTCTATACTATCTTAACTACTTTACTCCAGATAAAATTTCCTTACTACTTTTGAAAAAAAAAAAACCAGGTAATTTACACACACAGTCATGGCTGGAAACCACCACTGTACATTTAGAAATGTGAAATAGTCATTTAAGGTCCTAGGGCTCTACACTGTTCAGCCCAGTATTGTTCACATGAGTTCTATTTTATCTTTAAGTAGTTATTTCATTTGTAATTATGTGAAGAGGGGTGGTTGGTACATGCACCTGCCTGCAGAGGACAGAGGCATCGGATGCCTTAGAACAAGAGTTACAGGCAGTTGTTAGCCAATGCATGCATGCATGCTTGT